TTCTCAGTGTCTTAACTAAACCAAACCTAACTGCTTGAATAAATAAAATAACAACAGATCTTGAAAGGAGAGGAAAGACAAGGGCAGGTAGTATTGACTTAAGGAAAGCTGTAAATGCTAGGAGGAGGGACATCTACCTTTGTAGGTGGCTGTGGCCTTGTGTAAACTAGATCAGGGTAAGCACATGATATCACTGACCAGAAAAATTTAAATTATGTGAATTAAAAGAGATGACTACTACTTGGTGTAGTAGGAAATGACTGGAAAAATTACAGGTATCACATGTAATTCTCAAAATTTTTTGAACCTATCAGAAAAAATATTTCGTTCATCTGAAATCCTTCTTTGCTATAAAACAGATATTCAAGCCACTTGCCTGATTTACATGAAATTCCTAAAAATACTATAGGGTGTAGCTGTGACACTGCACAAATCCTTTATCACAATAACATCTTTCTTCCATTTTTCTATCAAGATCATGACTAGGGGGAAGAATGTTAAAAGTCAAAGATGGTCCTGGACATTTAATTATTTCATTAACTATTTAGAGAGTTTAAACATGACCTCGTAAGTTTAAAAGCAAGTTATCTGAAGGCAGTAGTTTGCACATGGTGAAATTCAGAATAATACTTATAAAGAATAGCTGCCAGAACTCATACACAAAATTGTCAAACTACTTGGCCTAACAAAATAAGGACTATGCTCCAACATCACCTGTCTGAGAACAACAGAGGGCAATTCCCTGCTCAGAGGACTCCACAGCAAGTGCTGCAGCTAAACTTACTATCCTGTGGCATTATTTTCACCACTGTGAGCATCAAAGAGGATTAATCTTGCCAAAGCACAGGAATGAAAAATCACATTTGGGTTTGGAGGAATATTTTACCATTATTCTATTCCCATATACTCCCAAAACTATGAATTGCCTGGCCCTAAATTTACTGAAATCCTAATTATATCTGATTTAAATTGACATGCAATTTGAGTTAAATTTATTTTCTGCACTTTCAAGGGAGATTTTTTGTTTCTGTTTATTTAAACTGCTGTTGAAATTGGTTAATTAAAAGGATTTAAAAAATCTTAATACTCTAAACAGAGCAAACTGGTTCTGAATTATTAAGCAACATTTTAGATGCATTTAAATAACCTTAAGTGACTTAACTGCCACCTGATCCTAAGCTGTGGCTCAGAAAAATAAAATGTGAAATACTGTAGAAGTCTTGGCTTACCAAGGCTTCCAGATACAGTAAATAAAGAGCTTAAGTCTCTAATACCATGTCTGCAGAAGGCATACTCTCAAATACATAACTAATGCTCCACCTCAAGTAGAAATCAGCAGCAGAAATTATAGCTTGCAAGTTTGATTTTTCATGAGGAATTAATAAATTCAGTCTTTCAAATATAGCATTTAAAAGGAGGAATCATGCCTGGTCCTTCCTTTCTGACAGACACCTCAAAACATTCACAAACATATTAACCCTAGAAGGGTGGCTGAAGCTCAGTTTGGGTAAATTTCTGCACATTCCTCTTATAGTTTCAGCTAGACCTGGTCCACTTCAGCTTCTTGCCTAAGTGGGGTAAAATGCCCACCCTGTAAGATGTTAACAGTTTTAGGCAGGCTTGTGCACATCACTAGCACTGAAGTAAGGGAGGAACTGAGTATCTGGAGGTCTCCAAGGCACTGGGAGAAGGAGGATCCTGCAGCTGGGAGGTCAAGAGGAGTACCAAAGTCAGAGTTTGTATTTAAACTATACATAACATTTTTGAAAAAATATGTTTGAAAGTATCAGAATTACCTTGCTGGAGTTTTGTTGCAGTAACTCAAGAGTTTAGGAAGGATTTTAAGAGAAAGGGACCTAAATACTGAACAAGAAGGTTGACTGAGCACACTGATACACATAGAGTAAGCTCTTTCTGTTATAGTGAAATGTGATTTCTGGAAGACAGGGAACTATAACTCTGAAATCAGCACACACATTTAACAGCACACACATTTGTTCCCACAAAGCCTTTGCAGGTGTATTTAAGAATACAAGAAATACATTCTTTGCACTGAAATTTCTTTGCCAAGAAATACAATACAGCTTTTCACTCCCAAAGATGTGCTTGCCAAGGTTTCCAGAGTCTGAGGCACAAGCTCCCAGCTGCCCCAAGCTCACTTTGTGACACACACTGGTGGTACAAGATGTGGTGCTGAGGTGCTGAGAGAGGAGCTGGTTAATATCTAATTTCAGCACGGGTAGAAAGAACAACACAGTCAGTGACAAAGACCCAATAACAAGTCACTGCATGTGCTTAACTGCTTTGGAATGTCACTGCTGCTTTAAAATCTACAAGTGGTGTCTGGAAAAGGTTAATCTGGGTATTTACTCATGTGTAGAAGTTTGTATTTACAATAGGGTTATGATACCAACTTTAAGTTAGCTAAGGATATCTGTGTAAGCAACTAGAACGTAGGACTAAGAAGTAATGAATTTTTATTTATGAAAGATGTCAAAGTACTTCAACAACACTGTATCAGAACGAATGGCTTTGAACAGAAGGTAAAAATGCCCTAACAAGTTTATCACAAGAAAATGTTGATCCAGTTGAAGATAATCCCCTTGTTTTGATAAAACAGAAACACTTTTGGGGGTGTGTATGCTATTGTAAAGCAGATTAGGATAGGAAAAAAACCAAACTAACTTTATAAGACATGTTTTCATCTTACTGCAGCAAAATTCCAGCAAAGTAATTCAGACACTAACTATTTTTTTTTTTTTTTTCAAAAAAATGTTATGTATAGTTTAAATACAGACATTTAAAATGTTCCTGTTTTCTGGAGCACAAGCATTCCAAGTGCTCTGTCCTTGTAGCACAGATTTCCATTCATGTTGACAAAATACCATACAGCACAAGGGTCTTGATAACTTACAGCGTATTTTTAAGTGACTACAGACCACAAGGCCCAAGGCAATGAATATATACTTTCACTGTACTTCTTCCAAGCCATTCAACAATGCCTTGTTTTTATTTTTTTAAATCTGTCTATGGAGTTCCACGCTTCCAACCTTCCAAACCTGGGGGACATGACAGATGTCATATACATTTCTCAGTGGTTAGCAAACCCCTGGGGAATATTTTTTGTCTGTCGTGGCTCTGGTGGTCACAATGGCAACGGGATTCATACATGGCTGAGTCAATCAGCATGAATCATTTATGTGACTCCTCATACATGGCATTATTAGGTTGGAATCATAGAAAAAAGATGACAGGGTCTTTGCTTCCCACACAACAGACCAACAGCTCCAGACCCTGACACTAAATTCTCCTTTCTTTGCCTCAGCATTTTCTCCCTGCCAGTTTCACAGATATACTGACAATACCAGCCTGTTCTAATTTAGTGGTATGTTTTTATTTTCTACTTTTTTAAAGTACTTGTTCTTATGGGATTCACCTGATAAATTTTTGAGGTTTTTTTACAGATGACTAGCATTCATAATGATGATGATGTGATAAGTACAGAAACAGCAAGTGTAAAGTGAAAAACAAATGTAAAAAGTTAAGAGTAATATACCTGTAGGGTATTTATATTAAATATGTATTACATCAGAAATAAGTTACATGTGGGGAAGCATGACTTGCAAAATATTTAAAACATACAACCCCACTGTTTAGACTGCAAAACACTGTTTTTCTTTTGTCAAGTACACTGAACCATCAGTAATCCTGGAAACACAGCTGACTTCAGGTCTTTGGTTCCACCGGAAATGAAACTGCATGCTTAAGGAGTAAAGTTAATTAGTGATTAATGAGATTCCTTAAATGCTGCTTCTCAATCTGACTGATCAGGATTCCCAATACAGGGCAAGGTGGAAGAGCTGCAAGCACTGCAATCCTGTTCACAACTGTGCCAAAAACGGGTCAGAAACCACATCCACTCACAAGGTCATATGCTTCCTAAGGATGAGCTTCTTCTCCTTTGGAGTACTTACCAATAAGATGATAAAGTAAGAGCTATCTGTTACAAACTACTGTGAACATGTCACTCAGAGCCTCATTCCTAGTGAACTTCCCCCAGGGGCAGGGATGGGAAACAAAATGGAAAAGCAATCCAAATTACTGAACTCCTTTGGTGAAAAATGGTTTAACCAGTCCCCTGGAGTTGCCTCCAGCAAACAAGACCCCAGCTGGTCCAGAGCTGCCCCACTCCTCTGCAGTGCTCAGGCAGTATGGCCAAAGAGCTGCTGAACTCCACCCACCACTGCCTGGCTCTGTCCTGACATCTCTGCAGTGCCCATTCCCTCCACCTTTTATCCAGGGCCCCTGCACACAGTTGGACCCACTGACTTTCATCTTTGCTGTAGCAATGACTAAATAATAAATAAAAGCTAATTTGTGCAGAAAACAGAGAGGTGGATTTTCAGACATTTAGGAGCAAATACAAAAATGATCTGTTGATTTATCAACGGAATTGGCTATTGTAAGCAGTGAGCAGTATTGATTCTGAAAATCAGCCACAGTAGGTTCATCATACAATTTCAAGGTAGGAGATGTAATTATCTACTATTATGTAATGGGGGTGAGATCAAATATTTATTAAAATAGTTCATAACTGGGTACCTTATTCATAACGTAAAGTTGCATCCAAATGGCAAAACCAGAAAGATCAGAAGTACCAGCCCATAACACACCTGAACAATGAACTACCAGCAGTGTTGATGGAGCTTCCTTCAAAACAGGACGTGAGCAAAGCTGGCTCAGAATATTTGAGTTTTCAGTGAATATGGTCCACAACTTTTTCTGAAATGTAGGATTTTTTACAATGCCACTGGAGGCAGGTTTCACAGCTCTGTATGTAACATCTGACAGCACTGGGCAGCCAGCACCTGCCTTAGAGCTTGGAGCACTGGAACATACCCAGGCACATGTTTTACCTTCTATGCTATAACACCCCAGCCCATCCAACCCACAGGAGCAAGAAGCAGAGGCATTTATTCCTGAAAGTTGTATTTACTCACATCTCTCCTCGGAAAGGTGCCCAGCAGCTTGTACTCCTCCCAAGGATATCCCTTGGAAGCTACAAAATCAAAGACAACCTGCAGCTTGCTGCTGGCCAGGAAACGCCGCTCGAAGAATTCCCCGCTGGGCGTCCGGATGCGGAGTTTGCTGACAGACTCGGTGCTCTCCTCCTTCGGCTCGGGGGGCAAGGACTGCTCCAGAGACAGCCTGATGGCCTGGGGAAGGAAAAACAACCATTTCAGCCTGCAATGCCAGCAGCAGAAGAAAGGGAGAAAGATTTTCTTTTTATTCCTTCTAGAACTTCAAGATGTGTCGCAGTGCTCCAGAGCCTTTATATCTCAATGACAAAATAATTTTTATTTGCTCCTTAATAACAGCCCAGCAGACAACTAATTAAAATAAATCCTTCTTTATAACACATATTATTAGGTCTACGGTTAATGCACGATGGGATACGTAATTTAATCATTTGGCAGAAAGCCTTGGAAAAAAATTGAATGAGAGAATAATTGTCAAGTGGCCAATTGCTTCCTTAAAGGGTATAAATTAAAAGGCAGTAAAAGTATTTCTTTAAAAGCACTTGTCAAATTGCCTTCCTCTTGCAGTGGTAATTGACCATTTGCAGTAGACTGGACCCTTAATGGCAGTTCAGAGTGAAAAGAAATATATGCAAGAAATTTACTACAAATAATTAAAAGATGCAATTAAAAATGCCACAAATGTACATTAGATACACAGAGTACATATAAAAGTAGGAATCATTAAAGAAGAAAACTGTGAGAAGAGAAATGGGAGCTTGAGGATTTAAAGTTGGTGGTAGTAGTAGTAGCACTTGTAAGACAGTTCTAAGTACAGGTGAACATATTTTCTACAACAGCCTGCAAGAAATCAGCCCTCAAATTGCAACGACACTACGTGACAGTCAAATGTGTATGACTGTCTTGCAGCTAACATTGCTGATGTCAAGGCTTTAAGGGCAGGACCCAAGTCTGTGTTCTCTGTCCCCTGTCTCTGCTAGCTGCTAGAGCACCAAGCCTTTGATTAGATTTTTAAAAAAAATAAAATTAATGGCTAACATTAGACTGCTGAATGAGGTGAGCTTGATTTTCAAGGGTATTTATGGTATTCATGGGCAGCATCAGCATCTGTCAAAAATTTGATCATATTCAGAAGCAGCTCTGTTACAGCATCACCTCACTTAAGGCAGTACTTAAAGAGAAGGTAAATGAATGGAAGAAGCAGCACAAACACACTGCCTGCCTCAAATTGTGCTTAGAAGACAATTTTTCAAACTGAAGAGGCAGATTTAGCCATTTTCAAGGAACTTTCAATATACACAGTTGCTATTTGTGCCTTTGACAACCTCCCCAAGGTCATTTAGTAACAGAAACTGATAGAGGGTGATTACATTGCAGGGAAAGGACCGGGCAGAAGCAAGATTACAAAGGCTTTTAAATAGTCTACTTCTTACACACACACCTCTGAGCAAATTATATCTCAGTATAAATATTTATACACAGAACTTCAGTTCATTTTTGCTCATCTACTATGAGATTATATTTTAAATAGAGTCTATTTTAATTTTCTCCCTCTCCATTCTCAACCACCTGCTTACTATCTTGCTGTTTTGACATTTCCCCACACAGTATAACAACAGATGCTACATTATTTACTGAACCCAATCAATTATATTATAGAAAAATAAACAACAGTAGCTCATTAGAGCTCCTTCCTTTGTGCAAAGAGTGCATCGCTCCCCAAAGTAACCACTCAACATAAAATGGCAATTTACAAGGGATATTCTGTACCAGCAAACCAAGTCAGAAAACAATGACATGATGGATCACATTAAAAACTCTTGGACCTGAACAAGCAATTTCAGTTTGTTGATAAAAAGGTGTTCAGTATGTGAAGAGCTCAATAGTCAGATTTTAAAATACAAACTGAACATAAAGCCACTTCTGTAAGTAAACACTGTTGCAAAACAATTCAGTCCAAGTAATCTGTATAGCTGAAAATGGGGAGTGTTAGTAAACATTATTGTTAAAATCCCTTTTGTTCTACTAAGCAAACAGATCCTATTATTTTCATTACTGCATTACTGCACTCTGCATTAAAACAGGGAAGCCCAGGTATATTTTGGTAACATGGGCAGTGCTGCAGCCTTCGCATAAGAAAACCATTTCTAAAAGGCCGAGGTATTAGAAAAGGCTCAGGAGCAGATATAATGAAGCAGAAATAATTATTGTTTCTATGCATGCAAAATACCTTAGAAAAGAAAAACGTATTTCTTGCCTGAGCCTGAGTGTGAGCTGATCTCCTGCTGCAGTGGATTCATGTTCAGCTGCTATTAACCTCACAGAATTGCCACCTCACAACCAGTCTAGACCCCAAAAGAGGCTGCAGGAGCCATCTCTGAGAGCACTGGGACCCTCAGCATTTACCAAATTGAGAGACTACAAATAACAGTTTGAGGAACACTACTCTTCACAGCTCAGGGTTTCTGTTTCCTTACAGAGGCCTAGAGACATAAAGCATTTGTTTAAACACAATTTTCATTCTAAGGAAGATTTTGTAGAATACTGTTCAGAAATGTTTAAAAGTACCACAAATCTTAATTTCAAAATTTTGGATTTTATTTTCTGTTAAGTAAGAGGATTGTCTCCCAAATTAAATTTGGTAAATTGTTTCATCAAAATTGCAGGTAGGCTTTGTGCTACTTCCTGGAAAAAAATGAAAGGGCTCCATGTTTTTAAAAAGAGTGGCTGCAGAAAACAGGTTAGAGCCTCCCAAAGATTCCAGCATTTATGGAGCTCATTTCACAGATCTCCTGTGAGCAGGTCCATCCATTTAATATCTGGCTGTATCTGAGACCCAGATGATAAAACAGAAAAGCTACTAAACAGTGGGTGAAAATTATTTAGCTGCACTTTGTTTCACAGATATATAGTAAGAAATCAATAATAGTAAAGAAAATTGATCACACAAAAAGTATGCTTTGAACTGAAGTTGCAGTGTGTGTTGAATGACAAAATGCTTAATGAATTCATAAGGTTATCAGAAAAGGTAAAACATCTCACCTCACGCTCCTCCTCCTGTTCCTTCCGGATTTGCTCCAGGCGAAACTGCTCTGCCATTTCTCTCTCTTGTGCTTCCCTCTAACAAACACAAAGGGCAATCCCACATCAGTATGTGATAAATACAAATGCAAACAAATTTATCAAAGTTTCCATAGAAATTAATATAAGAGATTAATATTTATTAAGCAATATTTTTCTGCCATTCTTTTCCCAAATTCCATTATTAAATGAAGCCAGGACAGGTGTAACTAAATGATGTAGTCAAGTCTAGTCCTAGTGACTTTATCTGGTGCCACTCTACAACATGGAGGACTTTAGGATCTTGTGTTCAGAGCACAAGTGAAGGCAGCAGTCCCCTGCAGCACAGAGCTCTCCCAAACTCCAAAGGGTTCCCATGCCATGGGTCTCTGCCCCTGCACACACCTTGGCTCTGTCAGCCTCCAGCGAAATGCGGTACGCTTCGTCCTGCTCTCTCTTCACGTTTTCTCTGGCTTCACGTTCATCCTAAAGTTTAAAGAAAACCAAAAATCAAATAGTGGACCAGTATGATAAGTACCTTTATGTCCTCAGCACTCTTTAATCCCAGTGACTTCAACATCACCCAGCTACATCTAGGAGAAACACATTCAGAGATGCCTCAAGGGTGACTGTGGCTTTAGAAATTCTGACTGCCTGAAGCTTTGATTCAGTTGCCAGGTCAGGGAATGTGTCCAAACCCTGGCCTGAGGGCTGGATAAGGCACTCAGGCTCTGCACTGAGAGCCATGGCAGGCACAGAGACCTGGGGAGGAGCAGCCTCCAGTGGAGGGGTAACTGCAGGGGGGTATGGGCTGGAATTGGGGGGGATTTCCCTCCTGCACCCAACAGCTTGGATGGTTTTGTAACAGGGAAGTGTGGTTTAGATGCTGAGACTGGATTTTCATTGGCTCTCTACTCAGACTGACAGTGGGTAATGGCTGGTCCTGACAGAGAAAGCCCAATCCCAGGTCCTTCCTGGGTCAAAAACCCCTCAGCAGGGTCCATCCAGGGTCATGACTATCAAACATCATCCAGAAGCCTCAATTCACAGTGCTGAATATTATACAAAGATGGGAAAGTAGCAGTTCCTGCTCTGAAGTATCTCAAATGGACAGTTGCAGGCAAGCAAGGAACAGGTTGCCATGCCAGCAAAAAGTATCTTATCAACAATCACAGCACAAAAAAATAAAGGTTTACTAAAAACACACAAATGACAAAGCCATGCATCATCCACACAGTGGAGGATCAAAGGCTGGATATCTCCAAAAGCTGGAATAACTGCAGTGGGGTAATGTCAAATAAAGCAAAGTGTATAATCAATAGCTTCATACTCTGCCTCTGAAGCAGAGACAGTGGCTGCTACCCTGTGCTTACTTGTCTTACATCTCCTAATCCCCCCCAGAGCTCTGCAGAGGCAGCACTGGTCCCTACAAAAATCGATAGGATTTAGCTGTGAGACTGCTGGGGGCTCAGCAGGGTCTCCCCTGCAGTTCCCAGTAACACAGCACCTGCACTGGGGCAATCTGTCCCGTGTTTCATAGAAATTAAAGTCTACTACCTACTGCTTCTTTAAGAATTATGTAATCTTCCCATTCAGCTGCAACATTTATTCCACATAAAAGAATCACTTTGCTAAGTGATCAGTTTTCTCCTTAAAACATACTTATTTGGAAAAAACTCAATTCTGAATGGTAGGAGCTCATGCTAACTGTAATTATCACAACATACAAACATGTCAAGATGTTCCTTAAAAAAAACCCCTCAAATATCTCAGATGCAAACACAGGAGGAAAGGACAAACTGCAGGGAAAACTATACAACTTCCACTTGGAAAGTACCAAAGCTTTTCAGAGGAAATTCTTCTTCCTTACAGAAGACAGGACCCATAGTTATTCTACAATCAGCGTGTTTTGAATTTCGCTCCAACATTTAGAAACCATCGCTTTATTCAGGAGAACCAAAACACAAGTAGAAGTAATTCTTGCAAAATAAAAAAAAGTACAATAACCTCCAAATAATCTTTCCCCTTCCTAGCTACACTGGACATTGAAAAGAAAAAAAAAAATTGTGCTATTTATACCGAGACTTTTCATAAACATACTGAAAAGTTATCTTATAATAGTGAGAACCAAAATAACCTTTCCAAATTAGCTAACTAAAGGAAGATGACTTCAGGCTATCTGCCAGAGGACAAACCCTTAAAAAATATTTAGAATTATTTCAGATAGAACTTTCAACTTTCATGTTTTTTGACTCCATGTATCACACCTAAATCCACAATCTGAATTTCAAAGTCCACATAAGTCCAGTAATGCCCAAAAGAACTTTGAAAGATTAGATACAACTCTTGCAACTACAGGCTCTTCTCCATCAAAGATTGCTTGCAACTAAGACAGAGTCACTGTAGTTTATAAAAAAAAAAAAAAAATTACTGGTACTATAGATTCTACAACTAGAACTGAAATATGAATTCCAGGCATTAAAAAAAAGTTAAAATGCTTTCTTCCCTATTCATTGCAGTTATCATCATGCTAGAAGTGGATTATGAAAAAGATGTCAGGAATGTGAAGAATTACCACGCATGACTGCCTGGTCCTCAAAGAAGTATGCGAGCCACATCTAAAAGTAAACGACCATGCCACTGAGCCCTACACCTCATTGAAATAATACTGTTCTTACTGAAACAGACCTTAAAAACAAACCTGGTTTCCAGAGATTCTTGGGTAAGCAACAGATGTAATCCCTGCAATGCCTCTTTGTACCTGCTTCTGTGTTAATACTTCTGCTTGCTAACACTGCTCACACTGAACAGGAACCAACCCCTCCACAGATTTTACAGCTAGATTGTGGTATTGTCTGGTTCAGAGTTACACCTTCGACAAATTTTAAACATTACACAAAGAAGTTCTCCCTTTTGTAATGCAGCTTCTTATTTTAGTTATCTCTTCCTCTAGAGAAGAATGAGGATGCTTCAGCAGAAAGCAACAAAAGAAAACTCACAGTGGTGACAGGAAAAGTGGAAGAAAATATTTTGCAGAGAATCTTTCACTACACTAACAAAGAACATGTCAAGAGCAGTCATGCCACTAATAATTAATACAAAAAATTCAGAAGTGTTATTCATTAATAAAATTTGAGGCAGGTGACAACTTTCCTGTTAGACCCTACATAAATTGCAGTCACTATTGACTGAACATCATTAAATGCATCTCCACAGTGCTTCTGCAATGAAGGCAGAACTGGCACCTTCCTTATTCAAGAAATCAAAGTATAAGCATACATGGCTTATCCTGGGTCACTTAAAAAGCCTTCATCAGAAATAGGAGAATTCTACAGCAGTGACTAAAGGCTGGTGTGAATGCAAACCATTCACATCCCAAAGGTCTGGGGCTTGAGACAAGGGGACAACACTCCTTTGCACCTAAAAAGGGGAGAAGTCACAGATTTCTCCTTTCCTGTTTTGACAATGAGACAATGGGAGGACATACATTCAATGAAAGGTTGGAAATCTGAAAAAAATAGCTTCTATTCACAGAATGTATTCTTCACCTATGACTTTACTTTGCTATTCTGCTTCTTAGCGATGCAGTCAACCCAAAAATATCAAACACTTATGAAATAGCTACAATTGACCATGTAAATCTTCATGGACCCTCTGGTCTATGACCAGTAAACCTTCTCCTGAGGAATATCCAGTGCATCAAGACTAAAAAAAAACTCACAGATAAAATTAAGAAGAAATTTAGGATATCTGTCTCATATAATTATTTCCTAAACCATTTGTTGAAGTTAATCCTGAAATACCTAGTGATATGCATTTTCAGATGGAGGATGATGGACAAAGAGGGATTCTTGATTGAATTTAGGATAGTAGATTCTACAAGTTAAAAGTATTCAATTTTTTGAATGGGATATCTTGCTGGAAAAGTCAGCATTGGCCCTTCTGGGCTTTTTTTCCTATTTATTATTGTCTCTTCTGAAGATTTAATGATTTAACCCCAGCTTTGCACCTGATTTGTCTCAGAGAGCTGTGTTTTATTATTGCCCACTGCCTTTTGGGACCAGTTCTACAGTGAAGTAAAAGCAGATGAGACAGAACTTGAGAAGATAAACAGGAGCAAAAGATATTTCTCCGAGGACCAGTGAGGCAAGGGCTATTACAAGAAAGAAAGAAAGAAAAAAATGTATTTACAAGTGCTGAATGCCCATCTGAAAGACAGTGCATTTCACTGAACCACTCCTGAAATTAAAATCTGCAAATGCTTAAGGCTATTCATGGGAGCGTTAAAGAGAAACACCCCTTTGTCCAAACAAACCAGTGCAAGAAAGGCATTAATTTGACTCACTAAGATGACAGACTTGCACATTGTATAACTTAAGCATACATGATGGGGAATATATAGCAGGAAAAAGTGTACACAGAATATGTTGGGTGTATGGGAACGACAAGGACAAAGCAAATGGACATTTTAGTGTGGCAGAACCACAGGAGGAGGCAGGATGGGGCAGGGTGAGGAGCAGAACAGCACAGAACCACCACAGGATCCTGCCTGTCCACACTGAAGGCTGAAAGCTCAGTTCCAGACATGGATTTTTTGGAATTAACTCAAGTGACAAGAAGAAAACCAAACCCATAACTTTCAAGGAGTCCTGCAGTGTTTCCTGTGGGAAAAGAGCCAACCAGTCCTGATACATCTGCCCAGCTGGGCTAAATATTCACTGACTGGAGTCATCAACATGTTACAGCCTAAAAGCCACAGGGACTGAACATATTTTATCTCCTTTCTTTCTTTCCTCTGGCATTGCCTTGCACTTTGCCAAAGCTCTAACCATGCTGGAAACTCTTGAAGGCAGCACTTGCACCCACCGGGGTGTGTGCGGCCAAGTGCTCAATGGGAAGCCCAACGTTTGGGCTGCTATCATATTACAAACACAAAATCAGAAAATTTCATCAGATAAATTTTGATTACTGTAGTTTAATTAGTTATAACTAGTAATAATTAGTAAATGTGCTAATTAGATTTTTGAGGGGTTAAATCCCAATCTTCGCTAGACGCCTGTCATCACCGTAATGCTTTTGCGCTTTGGAATTTAATGAATTTCGTGTATTCTCATAATCTCTTGTTGTGCAAATACTATAGCCCATGATATACATGACAGTGTTAGATGGAACACAGAGTATCCAAGGTTTCAGATGCCTGATTTCTAATGATTTACATGAGAGTTTCAGTTCCCAGCAGAAATTTCAGAGGTCTCTTGCAGAGCTGATGGAAGCACTTCCCCTACATTTGAGCAGTGAGGCAGAAAAGGAGGAAAAGACATGGTGATACCAGGCTTCTCACAGCACAGCTATGAAAATATCACTTGGCCACTAAAGCCTCAAAATGCTCTGGCAGGGAAAAAAGGAAAAAGAATTTAAGATGGTGACTCTGCAGGCCTACAGTTTTCTACAGCTTATCTTCAGTCGGAGTCTGTTTACAGCAGTTTTTCCAGTTTAAAAATTCTTAAGTACCTCTCCTTTATGCTACAGACCAGTGTGCTGGCAGACATAGTTTAAAGTGAATGAAAGGTTTCTACTGGTATTTGTAAAAATAAGAAGGTCTCTGAAGCAACTGTGGGCATTACAATTCCACCTTAATGTCTAATCCAGAAGCAGGAGTGCCAGGGTTGCATAATGACAAAAATAAACACGATCAGAGACCTACTGTTACTTAAATGTGGACAAGTTGGACCAGCTGTGTAACAGTCATTCCTTCTACAGTAATAAATGTTGACAGCAAAAATAAAAAATGCATTACTGAGGCATCATCAAATGAGCCCTGTCATTACATGGAAACTCCGCCCTGTATAAGCTTGTCAAAAAGTGTTACTGTAATCCTTTGAGAAGCCTCCTCCTCAGGCAATGAAGAAAAAATGTTGAGGATCAGCCCAGAACAGGTGTGTTGTGCTGTAATGCCAGGATTTAATCACAGATCTCTTCACATTAGTCTCACAAAGGAACTAACTCATATCTATTTGTGCCCATCACGCCACACTGAGATGATTATTTAACTATCCAGTTAAAGCAAGCAAGCTCACAGGGTGTTTAAAAATGGACATTCCAGGGCGTAGAATATTTTACAACTATTGTTTTGCTAAGTCCAGCACCAGGCACTGACACTTAAGAGGAACTGATACTCAAGAGCAACTGGTACTACATGCTCTTTTCAAAGTCAGTGCCCGAAAAATCTCAGTGCACACCTTGATTAACAGTGGCAGAGGCTGGTTATCCCTGCTCTGAGAGACCCTCTCTTGCTTACAGGAGGCACCCCTTGATGACATTTATTCCCTCTGCAAAAACCCCCCTGTCTGAGCAGCAGCTGGGGTGTCAACTCCTGTAGTGTTGACCTGGGGAGCAAACATGGTTAGAAAAAGAAAGTGTGTCCATCAGATGCAGAAAATCATTAGTGCAGCTGCAGAATAACTCTGCATACACAGCGTGAGGTTGGACTGCAGTCCCCAGACCTGACTGCACTGGGAAAGGTGGGGCTGTATCCCGGCCAAGAGGCTTCACTGGTGATGGTCACTGAGCCCACAACTGAATTATCCATTGGCTTCTTATCAGAAGAGCCATGTGAGCACATCAAGTGTGCTGCTAATCCAATTTTGCTGTTTGTGGTTTGTTCTTACAGCAATTTTAGGAGTGAAATTATAAAACAGACACCTAGACTGTGTATGTACAATGGCACATCAACAGCATGGTCCAAAAGAGGCAGGAGGTTTCCAAAATGTCATCTGGCCAGCACAGCAACAGCTCATGATTGACCCTGAACCTTGGAGAGGCAGGGAAAAGAATAAGACAGCAGGTTGATTTCCCTTGAAGGAAACTTGGGAGAGAAAATAGGTGCAGAAGTTACACACCAGGACAGGGTTACTATGAGTAGACATGTGCATTCCAATGTTTTTAAGGTATTTATTTGGAGATTATGTAAGAGTACAACACACAAATCTAAAAATTAAATCCAACTGCTAGTTAAGGAAAGGTATTTTAGCACTTGACACTAAAAAAATGTGCAAGAGATTTGCCCCATTAAAATCTTATGAGGCTAAACTGGTAAATTTTACCAATACATGGATACAAAAGCACAAGGTTTAGCTAAGCATACTATTATTACCAGCAGCTAATGAGGTGGCTCACTCAGGTGAGTTAAGTAGAGCATCCCACCTTTACCCCCAGCAGATGCCCAGGGACAGGAGCTGCCTGTAGCTACAGCCAACATCAGCTGAACACCTGGACCAGCAGCTGGAGTGAACCAGTCCTCCTGTCCCAAATAACCATCAGAGGGCACTGCAAAACACACTGTGCCAAACAGGATTATGCAATGGCTGTGCTGGAAGCTTTCAAGTGCATGAGAATTTCAGCTGCATAAACTCACTCATTACTGACTTCATGTACATTTACAAATGTTTCCAGTTCTGGTTCTTTCTCACATACACTTCTGTTTAAAGCAATGCTACACCGATGACTCTTTTTAAAGCACAAAAGAATTTTCTGCTTATCTTCTTGTGGTTTTACAATGACTTAGAGTTGCTACTAAGAAAACAGTAACAGAAACCGGACTCTGTATCCTGTTTGCTATTGTAATATTTGGGAAAAAATTGCACCAACTGCAGTAAGATCTTAAAAAAGAAAAGGCGTTGATGTTTGAACACTTGAAGTTGTCAAGTACAAGGCTTATGAGAAAGATACATGTTACGTAGCTAACCACAAAAAGGCAGTATTTTGTTTTCAGGCTGAAGCCCTCTATTGAGTACAGACTGCTTGTCAAATACTCCCTCTCTGGAATAGTAATTTCATAAAGCAAGGTTGTTTTTTGTTTTGAAAACTTCCTGCTTCAAAGGCAAAGTGTCTGAGATCACCTTTTCATGGTGCTTGTAATGAGTGGAGCCAAGATGTAAGTAAATATCCTACTTGTGTATAGAAACCATAGTGTCTGGAAAGCTGCCCCCAAAGTTTATGAAATTTTCCATCACTTTTCTGAATGTCAAAGTGTGTTAGAAAAAGCTCCTGTTGGGGAAGAAATGTCATCAGTGCTTTCAGTGACAGAAAAACAAAAGACTACAGAAGACTTGGACAAAGGTAGATTTTGGAGAAATGTATAAAAATCAATTTTCCATTCTCCCTAGTTAGGTAGAGCACTTGGAGAAAGAAGTCAGGAGACAAACAAACCCGTGTGGGGACTGGACTGTCACTGTCACTGCTCTTGGCTGTCCAGGGAAGGACAAAGAGCAGCCCAGGACAGGAGCCAGTTCCTGGTTCTGGGTCCAGTCTGGTGTCCTGCTCCTCACTCTGCTCCAATCCTATCACTTCTAGTTTCTTCTCCTATCCCTTGTTTGCTCTTATATCTCTGAATTTATATGCCTCTGTTTCCCTCTGTTTTCTTCCTTTTTATCAGCTTTTATAGTTTTTAATTCTGAAACTCTCTTGGAACTCATCTGTGATGCAAATTTCACTCTAAAGCATTAAAAAAACTCCCAAAGTCAAGACACTCCTGTTAAAATGCAATTAAAAATCAGTTATATTGTGCCTTGGATTTTTGCTGTAACCCTCATATTTAAATGTGTGTTCAGTATTAACAAAATTGAAGTCAATTTCTTTACCAATGAATTACAGGTAGCATAAATAAAGAAGAAAAAGTGAATGACACATATTGTGCAGATAATGTGCCATCATATTTATAGTCAGTAAATCTGGTACTAATGAGATACAAGATTTAAATGTGAAGAATGTGTTTAGTGAATTATTGTCAATCAATGTCTATGCAACAGGATAAAGAATAATCTTGAATGGCAACACACCTATTATTATAAATTCCTAAGAACTTCACTACTTAAAAATGTCACTCTTAATTTACAGAGTAACAGATAAAGATCTTTCAGCTGTGTAACTCACTTTGTCTGCTTCTGTGTAATTGAAACACTGGTTTTGAAAAGTCTTGTCATCATTTATGCATTCTGCATCATTCTGAGTTGTGGCTCAGTACTGGTGTACTGGTTAAAGTTGGTTTCAGTCCCCTTCTAAACAGACACATTTAAGATATATTAATCTACTTTTGTTTTCTACCTATGACTTGGAGCTGGTCAGTGGCAAAAAACATGATAATTTTCCTTGCATATTAAGCATATAGAGCACATTAAGCTCTATAATATCACTATAATGCACTATGTGACTATGTTCAGAAAAAGAAAAGAAACTGAAAATGAAAAGACCAAAAAGGAGGAGTTCCAAGAGACCCAAATACACAAAGGAGACTTTATCTTTTTAATTTCTGACAGTGGAAGAGACACTAAAACAAATCATACCCGACTCCTCTGGCTAAAGAAACATCTGGTTAATTGACATCCCCAGTGATTAGTGGAAGCCAGGAGGTATCTGCAGCCACTTTCAGTGCTCACCTCATCCTTTATGTCTTCCTGCTGCTGGGCACTGAAGATCTCCATCGCAGCCATCAGCCTCATCATCAGCTCATCCACTGTTGTGTTACCTAGCAACAAAGGAAGATAGCTGAACTTCACTTCATTAAAGTTATTAAACAAAAAAGAAGTAATTTTAGAATTAATCCATAAGAAACAGCCAGACTAAAAAAAAAAAAAAAAAAGACAAGAGTAGAAAATGCAAATATCTCAGTAGAATGCTTTCAGTTCACCTTTTTACTGAAAATTCAGAATTATTTTTACAAAGGTTGATCACAGGTTAAGATTTCAGGTGGTGCAAATCTGAACAATTGCTTTTATGCTTGCATAAATTAACTCTATTTTGCCTTTTAGTCACTGATAGGCAAGCAGTAGATCTGGGATTCCCTTATGTAAAATTGATTTTACAGATTTAGAATTCCCAGAGAGACCAAAGCAACTGCTCAGTCAGGCAACACATGGTAGGATGTTGGCAGCAGCATCCAAGTGGATTGGTTTAAAACAATGGAAAACCCACAATACAATGATTGAATGGATATGACAAAATATAACCACATTTTATTTGCATATAACTAGTAATAAAATTTCAAATACTGTATTTTCTTCAGTCTATCTACTTCTCAAAAAACTTGCAAAGCTACTGAAGTGAAAAATTCTGTCATCCATGTGTGTATCATGAAATAGAACACATACATAGGGAAACAGATACCTCCCCATCTTTTCCTTCCAGCATGCCCCCAGTCTTCATTAAGACTGAAAGATAATTTCCTGCTAAGATGCATTCTTTGGTGTCTCTTTCTAAACTGAAGACTAGACTACCCATTAAAGCCACTTGTCATAGTAGTTGAAAGGTCTTAAACCATGAGAAATGGTTAAAAACTATGAAGTCTTAACATCTGCCAGGCTAAACAGCTGTTAGACCCTAGCAGAACAAGTACCACTAAAGAAAACAAGACTGTCCCCATAGTTTCCCACCCCAGGAAAAAAATAAAATTCAAAAGCAAACTAAGACAGTCTGCATTTCAATAAACGCCACCAGGGTCTTAGGTTTCTATATAGTTGTATCTCTTCTGTCAACATGCCTTCTCACCCAGCCCTGAAAGGCCCTCATTGTTCCCATTTCTAACATTTGCTACCTTAGCAGAAAATGTTATCCCACATGCTACAACATGCAGGATTTCAGAGACTACCATTCATTGAGGCAATATTGTTAAAAGATACCAGTGTCCCCATTCCTGGGAAAATAACAAGCAGAGATTGTGTGATTTTTGTTAAAGGATGAATTTAAGTAAGGCTACAATAGGTGATTGTTTTAGTTTAGTTCAAAAGATCACAGAAAACCTGACAAATCATTAAAACTTAACACATACAATTAAATAATCTGGATTATTTTTAATATAAAGCTGCATTGTATTATGACTTTGAATTGTTGCTAAAGCTGTTAAGTAATTTAAGTCAGTAGCACCACTGACATCAGCGGGATGGCAAAGGTTCTGAACTGTACTGCAGAGTCAGATAACTGACCTATTTGTAAGGCTATTCCTATGAAATAACCTAAGAAACCTATGAAATAGGTTTTATAAATTACAGGCATTCATACCATGAATTAGTGTTGTGCTGTACCTCGCACCAAGGAGACAAAATCCATGCAAAAATTAACCATTTTGTCCACAGGAAGGAACACTGCAGATTCCTCACGAAAATTATTAATCCCAGATGCATAAAGAAACACTAATGCTTGTCTGCAAAAGGCAGTATTTCCTGAGGCTGAACTACCTCAGGAAAATGAGATTACAATAAAGATTGCCAGACATAAGCAATAAAAGAATGAGGACATAGTGTCATGAAGGCAAACTTGTGGAAAAAGCAGAAGAAATGGGAGGCAGCCATTCTTTGATGTGCTCTAATTTGAAGAGTTACTGAGAACAGCAGTCAGAGGGCAACACTCCACATCTAAGTCATCTTGCTGTCAGTGAAATCAGAGGAATGGTTACACCAGAAAGAACTGCTCATGTAAACCAGAAAGCTTCATTTATGTGAGATTATATTAGGAACTTCAATCTTGACCTGATGTGGGGGTCTTGATGCTGCAGGCAGGTCTGAAAAAGCAACTCATGTCCAAATATTAGCAAGAGGAGCCCAGGTATTAACAATGAACTACACACAAAGAACCAAATGCATTCTGGCACTATGCAAAAATTGTAGCCAAGATCTTTTGGAAATCAAGAATGTATCAGGATATAAATTTGGAAAACTAAGTGTAGCTCCTTATTTAGGTAATTAAGCTTCCACTCAAAAAAAAAAAAAAAAAAAAAAAAAAAAAAAACCATAAACTACAATTCTACTACAGTCATGGCAACCCAATTTCGAACACCATATTATTTAATACATTTATGAGTAGTAGATAATTATACCCTGGCAACTTAAAGTGTGTTTTGTGTAATAAATTAATATTCTGGACATCTTAAAAGAGAAACAGCAAAGACCTCTTATAACAGTTTCAATACTCACATAAGGAATACCTGTATTATAAAGAACTGTACCTTGTATTACATTCAACACTTCATTAGATGATCGTTTTCCCATTATAATAAGGAAAAGCGGAAACTGATCTGTCTTCTGAGTTCGAATGGTTTGGGCTACAACACTCCCAAAATGTCTAGTGCACATCGTCAGAAACCTTGTGGGGGGAGAAATAAATAGTTAACATTGTAGAGGATTTTCTGAAGTTAAGTTTAAAAAAATAATTATGCTAAATTCAGCAGTTAACTGCATGTTACCTACTCTTTAACACAGTCTGCATTCAGTTGTAGAGCCCTTTATCTCTTTTTATCACTAAGTTATTATAATATTTACAAACATGGCAGAGTCCAGGTTATCTAAATCAAAACAATTAACAATTGCTTGAGACAGTGATTTATTTCATGGAGAATTCGATTTCCTGTTACACTGTGTGAAGACTATAATTCAAAACTACTCCCCAAAATAACAATGCTGAATCAATTGTTTAAAACTTCTAAAGAGAAACTAAGTAGAGCAACAATCTAAAAAACATGGTGAAGTATAAAAATAGTAAATTTCATACAAAAGCATAATTTAATAATGAAAGATCAAGAAATTGGTTTCATCAGTCACAGAATTAAAACATGGTACTTCAGAATTGTATTTTCTTTTGTACTAGTGCCCTCCCAGTGACACACTTAGCAGTGTGGTCTAAAAAACAATAATTCTAAGCTTTTGACCAAAAAAAGCTCGTAGATATTAGCATACAGAAGTCTAACATTAGTATTCTTAACACGATCTTGAATAAATGAAAAAACTGATAAAGCTTTTCTCTTCCATTAAAGGACTGTTTGAAATTAGCATTTCTTTCAAGAGAAAAGGGTAGCTTATGATATGTTTTCAGATCTGATGGTAAAAAGTAAATGTCATAATAATAATGAATTATGAAAGACCAAATGCAAATATAGAATGCTTTAATAAGATCCAATTTAATAAAGTCTGTAAAAATAATGGACTTTTAATAACACGGGTCACAAAAGGCAAAACAGTGGAAATTCTGAGGACTAGCCACTGGTACAGGCTTATTAATTCTTAATTATGTTCATGAAAGGCAACTTAAATCATGTGTTTTCTTATGCCTTATGATAATATTTTAGGTAACAACTACTCTGAAATGTATGCTCTAACTGAAGAGCAAAGTCCCATTGTCACATGCATTAGAAGCCAAATCTATTTGAAAAGACAAACTGCATTAAAATGTCAAGTGCTCCAAGTAATTTCTTCTCAAAGATACTGAAAAGATTCAAAAATGTGATTTTTCAAATCAATATATATATTGTATCCAATAAAATGGCTAAAAATTGATAAATCTGAGAAGTACAGCATTGGGCTTAGTTGAGGCTCCTGGAGCATAAAAAAAAATCTCTCCTTACAGAGAATTTGTCTATGGCTGTAGTTGGGTGGAAGGCAATGGGTGGGGGTGGCAATCAAGTATTTCAAAGCCATAAGTGTTACTCCCTGATTCTCTGTATTTTTCAACTCAGAACAATCAGACACAAAGAAGACATCAAAAAGCTGAACAAACTCTGCTATATCAGAAATAGCGACACAGACACGTAACATCTGGTAAGGATAAAACAGCATCTGTAAAGTCTGGACATATCAACTCTTCAGATAAATAATGGCTTTTGATGTTTTCCTTTCAAGGTGGGAACAGGTAAGTGAAATGTTTGCCTCACAGCAGTCAGTGGTGATCCTCCAAAGCAAAATTACTTACGTGAGTTCAAGGTTTCACTCCTGGAAGCAATAAAGACAGTGGACAATTCAACTGAATTCCTAAACTTGTGTATTAAAACTGTCTAACAGCCTTCAACACAGCACAGAAGAAAAGCACTCAAGTTTCATGGAAAATCAAAATATTTAACTGGAAGTGCAGAAGTGCTGTAGAGAACAATGCGAGAAGGAACAAAACTAAAGAGACTCCTACAGTCCTAATTGTACTAGTCAAAGGTGCTGGTTTATTTTTTTTTTTTTAATTTTTATTTTTGTATTTAGTCAACAAATAACTCAGGCACAAATTATGCTTTTACAGGTATAGGTTTTGCATGCCATGAATTCTGAATGAAGAATAATTTTTTCCTTCTTTTCTGCCTTTCCTGATTTTGTATTTTTAGACCTTTTTACTTTCAGATTCATAGCCAGAAAAAAGGGATCCCCTTTTTTCTCTAAAAAATCCTCTCTGTGCTAATATTTACTGTTAGAAGTGAGCAAGACCAAACCAACTTGGTGCAATAAGCAGTATCTTACTCTGTACATCATTTATAAGGGATTTTCTTACTTTCATCTAAACAGAAGTGTGCCAGGTCTCTCAGTGGCATCTCCAGAGCTGCCAAAAAAAGTGCCTGTGGAGTCCATCAAAGACACAGATGTCCCTCCAGGGAAAAGGGTTTTCCACAGCATTGGATTACTGTGATCTCCCACCAACAGTGGAAACAGAGGAATGCTGCCAGAAAGGAAAGGCAAACAGCATCCTACTAGTCCTTTTATTTTGAAATTACAAAAATATTCAAGGAGGGAGCAGGAGAAAGGCAAAAAAAGCGTTTTATAAAGTAAAAATCCATTAAAAAATAATCTCAAAAGTTACAAGAAAAAAGATCACCAAGAAAAGTACCAGTTCTGGCAAGCAGCACCATTTCTTTCATGACTCAGTAGCAATGAAACCAGCAGTTACAGCTACAGAATAAACATGGACACTGACCATGGCTTGACAAATACAGAAACAAGCTAAAAAAATGTAGAAGCTATTGAAGTTTTTTAATAGATTGAACAGGTATTAATGCTTAGACATAGTTTGCTTTATAGTTAGAAGTGGCACTTAAGGAAAAAGTATTCTGGTGTCATGAAGATGTTGACTGGGGGAGCTGCTGATGCCTGCACAGTAATTATCCCCCCACATGCACCTTGAGACAACCTGTGTGAGGAGTTATCATCTTTGTAGCTCATGAGTTTTCCAAAGAAGAATGTTATCATTTCCTACCAGCTAATATGTGAGGCTTTATATTAAAATACACTCCTGGCATATATTTTTGTATTAATTTTAAAATCATTTTTATTAATGTAGTAACTTACTGAATATTACTTTAAAATAAGGTCCTGGAATGCAATTATGACAAAATAATAGCTTTAAGAATCTACTAAAAAAGGTTTATATCTTACTGAGTCTCAAACCCAAAGGAAATACTTATTACAACTTCAGTCTCAAGCCTGTAGTCTATCATAGCTTCTGATCTCAAATATGCTATGTAGCACTCTGTAGATGCTGGGTTTAGCAATAATTTGTTTCTGTGAAAATGAGCAGCTTTTAATTTTTAATAACAAAATTGGGCACTTCTGGCCAAAGTGCTGGTCATCAAAAGTGTTGATCTCAGAGCTCAACATTATTTGATATCTGGAAAAAAGCTATGATGGTAAATACTTTGGAAAAAGGACAATATTCCTTTAGTATTTCAGTTTAAACAATTTGGTAAGTTAGGAACATCTCTGGTGCCCAGCTCCTGAAAGGGACAAGGCAGAGGCACGGCTTGGCTTCGAACAGTCGTGCTGTATTTTCCAAAACTTCTTTAAAGCCACTCCTACTCCTGCCTAGTAGAGACAAAAATCTACAGAGAAATGAAGAACTGGAGAGGAGTTAAAGGAAGAACTTAGGGAAGAACTGAGGATTCTGAGCAATGAGAGTTCTCTGCATCGCCTTTAAAAACCACAGCACAATGCAGCACTTCTGCCTGATGCCCTTGGCCTTGATGCAGCAGGACTCCAGAGGAGCAGAGGAATTCAGTTTCCCTTGCCTTTCCATGCAGAAAAGTGCCACCAGCATGGCCCTGAGAGACATGGAAACCACCCACCAGTCCCACTGAAACCAAATACTGACCACTCAGTGCCTGTCCTCCTTCTGATTCCCAGTTTCCTGATGTACAACCTGAGAGGATGAATGGCTCTCCATATATCCCCAAATTAATCTACTTTCTCAAGGCATGATGAATAAATCTCAAGCAGTCAACACAGTGGTAGAAAGAGCAACTAAACATAAAATGTTAACTGTAGCTGATTTATGTTAGCAAAGTAGCTCTGCAGAAGAAAACCAAGTCAGAGCAGGTTGCATCTTGCACACTGTAGTGTGTTCATGGAATGTGCAGAGGGACACTTGGTGCTATATTTTGAATGTTTTTTGTATGTTAAAAAATAAAAAAATTGCAAGCTCTCATTGGCTTTTGCTTTTCTTACCCTCTCCCCAGCACCTTAATGTTATCTAACAATTGTATTTGCAAATGTCTAGTGCACTCAAGGTCAAATTCTCTTCCATAAAGAGAGAACTCAGTTCTCAAATATATGGAAAAATGTATTAAAATAAATACCAAAACATTCATAGTATTTTAGATCTTCATAGTATTCATAGTATTTTAGATTTTTTTTCTTTCTGTATCAGTAGAAGTAACAAAGATCTGATTATTCGTTACAGTCTTACTCATATAAATTCCTGAAGTTATTTTTTATTTTTATGCACCTAAGTGAACTTTTGAAAAGTCTCCTCCTACAATGAGGCCTTTGGCACATGGTGCCCACCATACTTCTTGGAAAGGATTTTTTAACAGAACAGAAAAGGCTGCACTGGAGATGTTTTTTGCTTTATGTTCTTAGCATAAAGTACTCCTCAAAAAGCAGCAGCATCAGCAAATCTGACAATCTCTTCTAAAATACCTATTCCCTTTCAGAACACAAAGAGGATGACTTTGGACCAAAAAAAGTGTGATTTATTTATGACTAGATAATTCCCAAAGCCTTTCACATTTCAGAAATGGGTTTGGAAAAAAAGTAACTTCTTTGTGGAGCATGAAGAAAACAATTATGAATATTAAATATGCAAGGTTTCTGATTATTTTTAATCATAATTATATAATGTGCAAAGTCAACATAAGACTCATTAAAATGTTAATGTAAAAATAACATTTTTGTATTAGGTATTTACATTTTTAAAAGAGTAAAAGCTGAGATCCTGAATTGGCATAATAAAATAATCTTGCTCTCTATAATACAGAGTGACTGCCTTACCCACATTGGTAGGGTCATAACTCAAACACAAGGAGCAGCAGACACAAGGCACGTTTTAAAGATGTATACAGA